TCCCCAGCCTTCCCTCTGTAATTTGACAGTCTGTTCGATACTTCTCTGCCTCTGTATCTATCTATTTGTTCATTAGGTTATAATGTTCTTTATTATCCATAAATGAGTGAGATCATGTGGTATTTTTCGTTCACTGCCTTGTTTATTTCACTTAGCATAATGCCCTCCAGTTCCATTCATGCTGCTGCAAATGGTAAGAATTCCTTCTTTTTTATAGCATCATAGTATTCCATTGTGTAGATGTACCATAGTTTTCTAATCCACTCATCTGCTGATGGGCATTTAGGCTGTTTCCAAATCTTAGCTATTGTAAATTGTGCTGCTATGAACATAGGGGTGCATATATCCTTTCTTATTGGCGTTTCTGTTTTCTTGAGAGCTCCTGTCATTAGAATAGGCCCACCCAGAAAATCTCAACTTTTTCAGAAGCAATTTCCTATTACAACAAGATGGAACTCTCAGTGCTTTGAGGAGAAAAGGAAACATTAACATTCCTAGGATATGAGATTTTTCTCAGCTTTTGTTATAGCACAACATTCAGGGATGGTGGTGATGGATAGAGGACAATAAAAGGACACAGGCGATGAAGGGTAGAGGAAGTATATTGGAAAGTATGTAAGGGAAGACCACATGAAAACTTCCTACTTCCTGCTTTCTTCTCTTGCCTTGGACTGGCCCAGAGGACAGTGTGCACCTGCCTCAAAACAAGAATTTCTGAAAAGGCTGACCCCTTCTTGAGATGTGCATTTTAATTGCAATGGAAAAAGTGCAAGAATATTATTAACTGCTAATAGGAAGAGGTGGAAGCAATGCTCATTCTTCCAGCCTTGTATTACAATAGAGTTACGTGTGCAATATAAAGTGATAATAGCATCATTTGCTTATCATGACACAATTCAATTAGGCAAAATATATGTGACCTATGATGGTAGCAAAGATCCCTAAGCGCTTTGGTGTAGTGAGCTTAAGTAAGGTAACTGCAACAAGAGTACTCCCAAAACTAAACTTCCTGACTATAATTTCAAACTATTAGGGCCATTTTAGACATCAGAGAAGCAACAGAAGACTTACTGTTTTAGTGTACATCAATCAAGGATGGGCCAGCCATCTTTAAAACAGAACCAGGATCCCCAAAACAGAAGTAGTAATCAAATGGCAAATTGATATGCATCTTCCAAAATGGAGTCTCCTTAGACCTATAATTTAATAGATTGTAAAGGCATCATATTTGAATTATAAAAGTTCATAGAAACAGTTGAGAAAAGAGGAGAGTGGTTGTTTTTTGTTTGTTTTTAGCAGAAATGATTTATACAATACAAGATTAAATTTGACTGTATCCTATGAACTCTGGTATCTTCTATCTTCTCATTTACTAAATTCTTTCAGAGGTAATTGAATCAATTGATGTCTTCCTTTGTTAAAAATATTTAAAGAGCCAATCCATGATGCCACGAAAACAGTTGTTTAGTCATAGCCCATAGGTATGTTTTAAAGTTCTGACTTTTTCTTTTTGCTTTTGGTTTGTATTTGCCTCCAAATAACTTTTTTTCCAGTGAATGTTGAAGTGATCGTTTTTACCAGCATTCCTTTTCTGCCAATGTATATGAAGAATTAGAGTGTGCAGTAACTATCAAGATGAAGATGTCTTTCTGTGAATAAAGGCAGAAAATATAAATTCGAACTCTGACCTTCAGATTTTGAAACTTTTCTCTGATGCCTTGCTAAATTACTTTTTGTTTTTAAAATTGGAAAAAGGGGTTTAAGTTATAAAATGCTTTACTATTTAGACCATATTGAAGTGGCATTTTATGACTTTCATGAGTGGCAGTAAACCACATTTCACTGATCTTATTTTATAAGTCACAATGCATTTTTTAAAGATGAGATACCAATTCATTCTGCTGAATATAGTTGGTTCTATAGTTGATAAATATCACACAGGAGAGAGCAGGTTCTCTAAACTATAAAACTGTCCTTGCCTTGTTTCAGGAGAATTGAAGAATAAATAACTCATGAAAAATTAAAACTAAGGGGTGATGTTTATATTGCATGTGTGAGATTAAAAGCTTCTAGCATCAGCTATAATATTGAAGTAGCAAGCAATTTACTTATTACCTACTTTTCCATGGGATCAAAATAAATTCTCCAAAATGTGCTCCCATTTCTGTACACTTCTTACTTCCTCTTTGACTAGGACTTCTTTGCTGTAAATGCAGAGTGATTAAGTGGTATATTGGACTTCTTTTATGAATAAGAAATGTGCTATATGCTCCTTATAGGAGCTCTAAATATCATTTAATCACTGTCAAGAACAGGCTCAAAATATTATCTAGGCATTCATCCTATTATCAGGCGCATCTTCCATGTTTTCTCACATACATGATTGTTACCACCAATGATTCCTAGTGTTCTAGATTCCACACACAAAATCTCAATAGTGACAAATGAAACAGGATCATCTGCCCATTTTATATACACTGGGCTTGATCCTTTACTCTGCCTGCATTAAGGGGATGATGCTCTGAACACTCATGATAACCCACACGCAGGCAAGACACTTCTAGGACAGACAAGCACAGCTCACAAAGACTGCCATTTTTGCCTTTGACAAGGCATAATATGTATCATTTCTTTTAATAGTTAATTGCACTTAACGCCTGGTGATACCTTGCGTATCTGGCATATGTAGGTCAGGTATGTAGAATTGTGCTTATTGAGAGGATGGGCCCCTGTTCATGCTTTCCCCTAGTCATATGATGGCACTAAGCTATCTGAACACAGTTATATAATAGTTCCTATCCCTGTTATTGAGGACAAGGTAGAGATGTATCCCCTTAAGTGAAAAATCCCAAAAGAAGATACTATTTTTGATATAATAGTTAAGTGGCTAACTCATGTTAAAATTAGTATTCAATTGGAACTGGGATGCAAGTCCTACCCCATCAGAGTACAGGAGAGAGAGCCCTCAAATCTATCTTAAAGGATACAAGAAAGGTAAATATTGACTAACTTCAAAAGATTTGCTTCTTCAGTACACTCATTCCAGTGTGCAAGAAGACTAAGAAATAATGTTGAACCACCTAAGGGAATGTAGCTGTTAGTAAGGAATAGAGTTTTTATTTCTCCAGAATCACATCTTGTTTATATAGATGGTTTTCAGAAAAAAAAACAAAACAGTGAAAATGAGGCAGGCACATTTTAAGGTTTATACATAAAAGGGATCAAAGCATTACATATAGACAAACTAAAACCATACATTAAGTCTAAGAAAAAAAGCAACAGAACATTTCTGCATGAACTGAGACTAGTTTTCACCCAATATAAACTGACAAGGTAAACAAGGACCAATGATCACTGGAAATATGGCAAGACTTTCATTAAACATAAGAAAAAAGGTTATTTCTCAGGCCGTTCCATGTTTATCCATGGAGAATTTGTGTGATAGTTACTTACACTACACAAATCTTAGATCTTGGCTGAACTATCACCTCCTTCTCCCCCAATGATAATTGCCAGGGATTCATTTCCAGGAAGGTGCAAAAAACATTGGATCCAGACCAGGTCAGGCATGGTGTTTGACCTCAAGCAAGTAGTCATGTCAGTTGTCAAATTAGAACATTGTTATAAAGCAAACACACTAGTTCAGGTGCAGGAAACTGGACTCGAATAAAAAGTTAACAAAATGTTTCTATCTTACAGGCATGCCTCCATCAGAGCCAGGAGTTTGCTTAGGTGAATTGCTTTTCAAGCAAAGATTAGGATCAAATTTTTTAGGAAACAGTGGCAGGCATGATTGATATTTTTGAAAGGGCCGGCGGGGCACGTGGCCCCGCAGGCGTCTGGCAGGTAGGATGACTGGCCGAGGGTCCCCCTCTCAGGCCCGTGAGATGTCCTGGCGCTGGGGGGCCGCATCGCCGTGCCTCCAGCGTGAAGGGCGCCCCGGAGCCGCGGGTCACCACGGAGACCACGCCGAACGCCGATGCCTCGGGTCACTCGGAATCAGGCGCGCGTCTTCCCGCCCTCGTCGGCCTCCGAGTCACTTTCGAGCCGAGCAACCGGGCGACCCAAAGGCCAGGCGGGGTGGTGGGCGGCCCGCTTCCCGGCGACGCCCACGGCGGCAGGCCTTGCATTGGAACCGAGTGGCCAGCTCCCCATCCATTAAGGGACCTCCATTTTGTACAGGACCATGTGCTCAGCAAAGGCTCCTTCCCGGAAGGAGCCTCTGCTAGCCATACCCACCATTTCTCTGGACTAACCAATGGTAATCAAGGGAAGTGCACGCCATCGCTATGACCACATCCTGTGTAATGGGACACCAGCTCGCACCTGGCCAATCGGCGGGGGGCACAGCCCCCTCTCCCGCCCCTACTCCAACCCTCTATAAAACCCCTGGTTCTATCAGGCTGCTCTCTCTTTGCCACCTGCTGCTGCGTCAGTAAGGAAGGTAGGAGAGCCAAGCCCGGGCTTGAAATAAAAGACTCATTGCTTTTGCATCGGACTGGCTGGCTCCCTGATGGACTCTTGGGAATCTTGAAATCTGGGCATAACATTTGGGGGCTCGCCCGGGGTTCCCAAGACCATTGAGGGACTCCCCATCCGTGAGTCTGACTGACCGCGGTAGGTGTCTGTGTCGTGTGTCTGTGTCGGTGTGTGTTCTGTGTGAGCTCGTTTCTGGAATCTAAGTGCCTGAGGGGTCTAGGCTGACGCGCCGTGAAAGACCACAGGCGGGGGAGAGCTGGAAGACGTTCCGCCCCCCCCAGCAGGGATGAGTATGCCCCTGATGAGGGATGAGTATGCCCCTCTCGGATTTGAGATGAGGCGGGTCGCTCCCGCCGGTTTGGCGTAAGGCCATTGTCTAGCTTTCGGGTTTGGCTTCCATGGAATTGGAAGCCTGTTTTGGTTCTGCTTCCATGGAGTTGGAAGACTGTATTTCCGGGCCTGTTTGTTGTTTGTGTTTGTGTTTTCTCGGTTTTATTTTGTGGACTTACTGGACGGACATTATGGGACAGACTCAAATTACTCCTTTAAGCATTATGGTTGACCATTTTAAAGAGGTAAGGGAAAGAGCCAGCGACCTCAGTGCGGAGGTTCGGAAAGACCGGTGGCAGACTTTTTGTTCCAGGGAGTGGCCAACCTTTGACGTCGGGTGGCCGCCGGAGGGGACTTTCGACCTCCCCATCATCCGCCGGGTCAGGGATGTCGTCTCCCGACTCAGGGGTGGACATCCTGGTCAACTCTCTTACATTGTTACTTGGCAGGACCTCGTGGAAGACCCACCATCTTGGCTCAGGCCCTTCCTACCTCCACGTTCTCCTGGGCCGAAGCCTATTCTTGCCTTGCAGAGAACGGAAAAGGAGGAGAAAAAGAAGAATCTCACCCAGCCTTCGGCCCCCCTGCACCCTGTCCTGCAAGGGGGGACTGAAGAAGAACTAATCTTTCCTCCCCCATATAGCCCATGGGGGGGCGATCCTTCCACACCAGGAGTGGCTGGGGACGGAGTTCCAGGAGTGGCTGGGGGCGGAGTTCCGGGAGTGGCTGGGGGCGGAGTTCTGGGAGTGGCTGCGATTCTGGTAGGAGGCCCGCCTCTCACCCGGCAGAGAGCTCAGCGGGAACTGTCTGCCGCAGCACCCGACTCCACTATCAAGACCCTGCCCTTACGGGCCGCTGGACCCCCGGATGCAGACAGCAACCAGCCCCATCATTACTGGTCTTTCTCAACATGCGATCTCTATAACTGGAGGGCACAAAACCCTAAGTTTTCTGAAAAGCCGGGGGGGCTTATTGACTTGCTAGATTCTGTTCTTTTCACCCATCAGCCCACATGGGACGACTGTCAGCAGATTTTACAGGTTCTGTTCATGACGGAAGAGAGAGAAAGGATCCTCAATGAGGCCCGGAAAGTGGTTCCAGGTGTGGACGGAAACCCAACTGCCAACCAGGTCCAGATAGATGTCTCTTTTCCCTTAACTAGGCCTGAATGGGATTTCAACACGGCAGAGGGTAAGGAGAGGCTTTCGGTCTACCGCCAGACCCTTAGGGGTCTCAGAATGGCTGCTAGAAAGCCAACTAATTTGGCCAAGGTGGGGAATGTTCAGCAGGAAAGGGATGAGTCTCCAGCTGCCTTTTTAGAACGGATCATGGAGGCTTACCGCACCTACACCCCCATGAATTCAGAAGCTCCTGAAAACAAGGCAGCTGTGATCATAAGCTTTGTAAACCAATCGGCCGCAGATATTAAAAAGAAACTACAAAAAGTAGATAGGTTGGGAGAGAAGAGTTTACAGGATTTACTGGCAGTGGCAGAGAAGGTGTACAATAACCGAGAGTCTCCAGAAGACAGGCAGGCTCGCGTCGTGGCTGCCACTAGCAGTAGGCAAGCTCGGGACCTGGCTAGGGTCCTGCTGGCTACGACCATGGACTCCCCCAGGGAGCGAGACCGTCGCCTCCGACAGCTTGCAAGCAATAAAGGAAGAGGTAAGCAGACCACCCGAAAAGGGAGGCGGGGGCTTCGGAAGGATCAGTGTAGTTTTGCATGGGAATAGGGCACTGGGCTCGAGAGTGTCCGGAGAAGGCCGGTGAGAAGGGAGACAGGACCGACCGAGTTAAGGTCTTAGAGCTGGGTGAACTGAGTGATTAGGGGAGTCAGGGTTCGGACCCCCTCCCCAAGCCCAGGATAACTCTCAGAGTGGAGGGGACTCCTGTTAACTTCCTTGTTGACACCGGGGCACAACATTCGGTCCTCCGCACCCCGCAAGGAAAACTGGCGAACAAAAAGTCCTGGGTGCAAGGGGCAACTGGTATAAGCCAGTATTCATGGACTACCCGAAGAACAGTAGATTTAGGAACGGGCCGGGTATCCCACTCTTTCATGGTGATACCGGAATGCCCTTACCCACTATTGGGACGGGACCTACTGACCAAAATTGGTGCTCAGATAACTTTCAGACAAGGGGCCTCAGGTCACCGATGGGGAGGGCCGCCCCATTCAGGTCCTGACCATGAGGCTAGAGGATGAGTATCGCCTCTACCAGAAGGCTTCCCCAGTAGAGGGCAGTATGGACAAATGGCTACAAGAATTCCCAACAGCTTGGGCAGAGACGGGGGGGTGGGGCTGGCCGCCCACAGGGCCCCAGTCCTGGTAGAACTAAAACCAGGAGAAGGTCCAGTAAGAATCAAGCAGTACCCCATGCCTCAGGAGGCACGGAAGGGAATTCAGGCTCATATCAGGAGACTGAAGAGCTTGGGGGTGTTAGTCCCCTGCCAGTCTGCGTGGAACACTCCGCTACTGCCGGTTAAAAAGCCACAGACAAACAACTACAGGCCAGTACAGGACCTCCGAGAAGTAGATAAAAGAGTTATGGACATACACCCAACAGTCCCAAACCCGTACACTCTCTTGAGCTCCTTGGCGCCCTCTAAAGTCTGGTACACGGTATTAGATCTGAAAGATGCCTTCTTCAGTCTACCGCTAGTACCTCAAAGTCAGCCCCTATTCGCCTTCGAGTGGCATGACCCAGAGGAGGGCTTCAGTGGACAGCTGACCTGGACACGCCTACCCCAGGGGTTCAAAAACTCGCCCACCATCTTCGACGAGGCACTGCACGAGGACCTGGGTGAGTACAGAAGGGAACACCCCAACCTGACCCTCCTCCAGTACATAGATGACATCCTGATTGCTGCCGACACAGCCAAGGACTGTGAGCGGGGGACCCAAGATCTATTGGCCACCCTGGGGGCCTTAGGGTACTGGGCATCCGCGAGGAAGGCTCAGTTATGCCGAGAAAGGGTGAGTTACCTGGGATACATCCTAGAGGGCGGGCAGCGGCGGTTATCGGATGCCAGAAAAGAGACTGTTTTGAAAATCCCTACTCCCACCTCTCGAAGAGAAGTGAGGGAATTCCTAGGATCAGCTGGCTACTGCCGCCTCTGGATACCGGGTTTTGCCGAAATCGCCAGGCCCCTATATGAAGCTACCAAAGAGGGAAGGGCGTTTGACTGGACTGAGACAGATGAAGCTGCCTTTAGGCAGTTGAAGAAAGCCCTTCTAGGTGCTCCAGCCCTGGGCCTGCCAGATATTACGAAGCCCTTTCATCTCTTTGTAGATGAACACAAAGGGATAGCAAAAGGGGTCTTGACTCAAGCTTTAGGCCCCTGGAACCGCCCAGTGGCTTACTTGTCCAAGAAGTTAGATCCTGTAGCTGCTGGCTGGCCACCGTGCTTGAGAATTATCGCGGCAACTGCGCTCTTAGTCAAAGACGCTGACAAACTGACCCTGGGGCAGGAAATCAGGATTACAACCCCACATGCCATTGAGGGAGTCCTGAAGCAGCCTCCCAATAGATGGATGAGTAACGCACGTATAACCCATTACCAGAGCCTCCTACTCAACCCTCCAAGAGTGCGGTTCCACCCCAGTGCGGCCCTCAATCCTGCTACTTTGCTGCCCGACCCTGACTTAGATGCCCCACTACACGACTGTGTGGGAATCCTAGAGCAAGTGCATGGACTCCGGAAGGACTTGACCGACCAGCCCCTCCCTGATGCAGAGGCCACCTGGTTCACGGATGGAAGCAGCTTCGTGCGAGACGGGTGCAGGTACGCGGGTGCAGCGGTGGTCACTGAAACGGACACTGTGTGGGCAGAGGCCCTGCCCCCCGGGACGTCAGCCCAGCGAGCAGAACTCATCGCCCTTATTAAGGCACTGACGCTGGGGGCTGGGAAGTGGCTTAACGTTTATACAGACAGCCGTTATGCATTTGCTACAGCTCATGTCCACGGGGCAATCTATCAGGAGAGAGGGCTGCTGACAGCAGAGGGACGGACAATAAAAAATAAGCAGGAGATTCTCGATCTTCTTGCGGCCTTATGGCTTCCTGCCAAGTTAGCCATAATCCACTGCCAGGGGCACCAGAAAGCCGATGACCCGGTAGCAAGAGGTAACCAAAAGGCTGACCGGGCTGCGAAGGCAGTAGCCCTTACCTCGGTCCCTACCAAGGCCTTACAACTCCCAGACCCGGGGGACCCAGTCTTACCAGACCAGCCCAAGTACTCCCAGGAAGAATTGCAACGTATCAGAAAGCTCCCCAGAGCCCAGGAAATAAAGGGATGGTGGTATACACCAGAAGGGGAACTTATACTGCCAGACCGGCTCGGGGACACGGTATTAGAACATATGCACCGGTCCACTCACCTGGGAACCCGGAAAATGAAGGACTTAATCCGACGTGCCGGGATCAAGATTCACCAGCAGAATACCAAGATAAATCAGGTTGTGTCTGCCTGCAAGACCTGTCAACTCACGAACACGAGAGTTGGATCAAATGAAAAAGGGACCAGGCTCAGAGGCACCAAACCGGGAGCACAATGGGAGGTCGACTTCACTGAAATTAAACCAGGGAAGTATGGTTATAAATACCTTTTAGTTTTTATAGATACCTTCTCTGGCTGGGTAGAGGCATACCCAACCAAGCATGAAACAGCTCAGACGGTGGCCAAGAAGCTGCTGGAAGACATCTTACCCAGGTATGGTTTTCCTGCTATGATAGGGTCCGACAACAGGCCAGCCTTTATTTCACAGGTAACACAGGTAGTAACCAGGGCTATTGGGGCAAATTGGAAATTACATTGTGCTTATAGGCCCCAGAGTTCAGGTCAGGTAGAAAGGATGAACAGAACTCTAAAAGAGACCCTTACCAAATTAACCATGGAGACTGGCGGGGACTGGGTGGCTCTCCTACCGTATGACCTTTACCGGGTAAGGAACTCCCCATACACCCTGGGCTTTACTCCCTATGAAATCATGTTTGGCAGGCCACCCCCTATCATTCCTAACCTTAAAGCTGACCTTCTTGCTGAATTTGAAAATCAAGATCTATCTCTTTCCTTGAGAGGGCTTCAGAAGGCGCATGAGCGCCTCCGCGCCATCTACGAAACCAGCCCAACCCCAACTCCTCATCAACACAGACCCGGAGATTGGGTCTACGTCAGAAGGCGTCACCAAGAAACCCTTGAGCCACGTTGGAAGGGTCCCTACACCGTGGTGCTGACGACCCCCACCGCTCTCAAGGTAGACGGCGTCGCAACCTGGGTCCATCACACTCACGTCCGGTCAGCGGATCCATCCATGACCCGGAAGGACTGCATCACCAAATGGAGCATCGATCAAGATCAACGCAACCCGCTCAAGCTCAAGCTACAGCGTGCTTGACCTGCCTGATGCTGGTAACATGACTCGCGATCACTCCTGTCACCAGGAGCCCCCACAATACTGTGTAATATAATGCCTGCATCTTCATGGACATGGCTCCAAAGAGACAAGGACAATTTATAGGATCACATGTTTAGTAGCAGAAGATTTGAAGCAGCCATGATGCCAGTATTATGTTATATTAACCTTTGATTCTTTTGCAGGTTTGAACGTATGTTGGCTGTCCTGGAAGGGAGCTGTGTGGAGTGACCCCCAAAAGTAAAGGGTGCCTAGCTGCCAAGAGGGCAGGTACCCAACTGGGCAGGGAATGGTGCCCATCAGGTTTTGGTCTCTGTTGAGAGACAGCTAACAGTTGGCAGCCTGTAATACTGTCTTGCAGGCCTGAGTCACCATGCCCATGTCAGGGGTAGTAAAGCTGGCATGTTTAGAATAAAAGGTCTGAGGCATGGTTATGCATAGAAGGAAGGTTTTATACCAACAGTTAGATCAGTATGTTTTTCTCCTTATGTAATTCCTCCGAAATCTGGCAATACGTGAAGGGATTTATTCCCTCCTGGGAAGGCACTTAAGCATCCTGTATTGCCAAGAGGATCCCCATTGTCTACAGCTGTTGTCTGAGCTCTCCGTTCAAGCTGGGCTCATGAAAAGCTGGTACCATGGATCCGTCTCTTGCCCAATGGCATAAGCTGGGCCCTCTCTGGAGAAGAAACCTGGATTTCCCAAGATATGTGATCAAAGCCGGGGCCCCACCAGCAGGCGAGGGGAACCCAAGGCAGGTGCTGGGCGTGGAGGCCACAGGGGCATAGGCTAACAAGGAGACAGAACTGAAACTCACATCACCCTACTTGGCCTAGAGATGGCTGGTAGTCAAAGACGGGTAAGACTCCACAGGGTGGGGCGACCTAAGACAGGCACAGCCGGGGGCCAGTAGGAGAGAACTTGGGGTTCAACAGAGGTGGGGCACAGATCCTCACCCCCCCAATGGTGCAGGGGCTTGAACACTCGCCCCTTCTGAGGAAGGTCTCCTATACCCATGGCTACTTTTTGCTTCCCATGCCCAGCCAGACCAGGAACCAAATAACAGAAGAGACTTGGTCCAGCTGAAAATGGTACCCAGAAAAACGAAGGCTTAGTTTAACAGACTCTAAATTTAAACCTAGCCTAACAAACAGGAATGCTTAAGCCTCCTCAAGGAATCTTGATTTGGCTTTTTGATAGCCATGGAGGAATTTTAAGAAGAAAAATCCGATTTCAATAGAAGTTGTTAAATCTAAAATGGTTTCTTTCCCTTCCACCGGACCATTTGTTAAGCTTATAGGGATAGTTCAGTTGATAGTTCTGGTGGAATAGAAATGCAGTCCGTCTCATGATTGGCCGGAAGTTCCAAGACAAGGGGGGAATGAAAGGGCCAGCGGGGCACGTGGCCCCGCAGGTGTCCGGCAGGGAGGACGACTGGCCGAGGGTCCCCCTCTCAGGCCCGTGAGATGCCCTGGCGCTGGGGGGCCGCATCGCCGTGCTTCCCGGCGTGAAGGGCGCCCGGAGCCGCGGGTCACCGCGGAAGACTGCACGCCGACCGCCAATGCCTCCGGTCACTCGGGGTCAGGTGCGTGTCTTCCCGCCCCGCGGCGCCGGGCAGAGCAGGAGCACGGACGGAAGGCGGCTCCAGACACGCCGCACTGCGGGCGATGCGCGGCCTCCTGGAGTAGCATGGAGGCCGGCGAGGATGCCCACCGGCGGGGCGCGTGGCTCGGATGCAGCTCACAGCCGCCGGGCTGGGGCTCTGAGGCTGGGCAGCTCCGCTCCGCCTCCACCGCCTCCAGCACACCGCGCCGGCCCGAAAGGCCGCTGAGAGGAGCTGCGAGGGAGGGACGGGCAGCCATGGCCGAGGCAGCGCCCGACCAGATAGGTGCGGGCCCGCGGATGCCCAGACGGACCGGGCCGCCCTCGTCGGCCTCCGAGTCACTTTCGAGCCGAGCAACCGGGCGACCCAAAGGCCAGGCGGGGTGGTGGGCGGCCCGCTTCCCGGCGACGCCCACGGTGGCAGGCCTTGCATTGGAACCGAGTGGCCAGCTCCCCATCCATTAAGGGACCTCCATTTTGTACAGGACCATGTGCTCAGCAAAGGCTCCTTCCCGGAAGGAGCCTCTGCTAGCCACACCCACCATTTCTCTGGACTAACCAATGGTAATCAAGGGAAGTGCACGCCATCGCTATGACCACATCCTGTGTAATGGGACACCAGCTCGCACCTGGCCAATCGGCGGGGGGCACAGCCCCCTCTCCCGCCCCTACTCCAACCCTCTATAAAACCCCTGGTTCTATCAGGCTGCTCTCTCTTTGCCACCTGCTGCTGCGTCAGTAAGGAAGGTAGGAGAACCAAGCCCGGGCTTGAAATAAAAGACTCATTGCTTTTGCATCAGACTGGCTGGCTCCCTGATGGACTCTTGGGAATCTTGAAATCTGGGCATAACAATTTTAGCAACAGCAAGATATAATAAAATGATTGAGAAGTTGAGGAAAATCTATGCAGATGTGTGGAGTTCATATTGAACCACTTAGCTGAATTCCAGTTTCTTCTTGGTGCAATTAACTATTACAAATCTTGAGAAAAAAGTAAACAAACAAAAAAAGAATAAAATGAATCCTATTATTCACAAGTAAAATCTTTAGAACAAAGAAGGATAAGACAGCCAAGGTAGAGTTTAATAGAAAAATTATCTTTAAAAAGCATGTAAAAGTCTATATTCACGTGGATCTTATTAAAGACTTAGGGTCTTATCTAAGATTTAGGAGCCTGATTTCAAGCAACTTCTACAAGACAACATCATGAGCATACCAACAAGTAAATATACATTTTATGCACATAGGTATTTAGCTTTTTGATCATCCATAGTAGAAATGCATCTTATTTCTTACACTTCTATTACTCTGTGGCTCATTCCCAACAGTTTACCTTGGTTAGATCACCCAGTTTGCCCCTTACAGTATGACTATCTCCTCCCCCCACACATACATACACACAAGAAAAAATCGTGAAGTAAATATTTTAATAAAAATTAGATGACTTTATAACATGAAATGGACACAACTTTAGAGATAGAACTATCTATACTAATAAAAGGGTAATATGCTAATTAGACCGGATAGACCAAATGTCTTCTGGACGTCCTTCTGGACAAAGCCACTGTGGCGGCATCCTAGGCAGAGGCTAGGGGATAGGGGTGATCAGGCCAGCAGGGGAGAGTGATTAGAGCAGCCATGGGCAAACTACGGCCCACGGGCCGAATCCAGCCCATTTGAAATGAATAAAACTAAAAAAAAAAAGACCATACCCTTTTATGTAATGATGTTTACTTTGAATTTATATTAGTTCACACAAACACTCCATCCATGCTTTTGTTCCGGCCCTCCGGTCCAGTTTAAGAACCCATTGTGGCCCTTGAGTCAAAAAGTTTGCCCACCTCTGGATTAGAGGGTGATTAGGTCGGCAGGGGAGAGCGGTTAGGGGCAATTAGGCAGGCAGGCAGGCAGAGTGGTTAGGGGCGATCAGGCTGGCCGGCAGGTGAGCAGTTAGGATCCAGCGGTCCTGGATTGGGAGAAATCCTGCATTAATGCTCTTGTCTGTTTTACATGCTCCCAAAGCTCTAGTTTTCACTACTGATACGTGAAATGTGACTGTAAAATAAATGTAATCCATAAGCCACACTGAAAAGTTCTGTCTCATTCTCATGTCTAAGTAAATGGATGTTGTGATGTCTTAGGTGTTGACCATTTAAAACTTGGCGAATTTTCTACCCATGTTCCTGTTTATTTAATGAAAAGGTTCTTACAAGTGAGATTTCATTAATTGGAAGAATGACAGTTTTTCAGAAGTGAGAATGCAATTACTGTGGTAGATTTCTATCACTACTTAACAAAGTACCACACATTTAATGGCTTAAAAACAACATATATTATTTTCTCACAGTTTTCAAAACTCAGGAATCTTGATATGGCCCTAACTGGGTCAGATCTCTGATTTCAGTCAAAGGATCAGAGATATCACGATCTCACAAGACTTTACTCTAGTTGTTGGCAAGGCTGCGTTAATTTATGGAGGAAACCAGCTCTGATATTGTGATTTATAATAAGAACTATATATTTGATCTCTGTCCACTGTTCCTGGCACAGAACTCCCAAAACCCTTGGAATTTCCTAAGTGATGTCTTTGTTATGTTAACGAGGCGACTTTTGTAAGTAAAATGTTCCTCAGAGTTCTGTGAGCCATCCTAGCAGTTAATCAAACTTAGGGAGGGGTTCATGAGAACCTCTAATTTATAGCCAGTCAATCAGAAGCACAGGTGACAATATGACTTGTGATTGGTACCTGATGTGGTGGCAGTCTTGTGGGACTGAGCCCTTACCCTGTGGGATCTGATCTTTCTCAGAGTAGATAGTGTCAGAATTGAGTTGAATTGTAGGACACCCAGCTGGTGTGTTGGAGAATTGTTTGGTAGTGTGGGCAATCCCCATCATACACCATATGTTGGGATTGTAATAGAATCATTTTTGAGCTCCTGTGGTTGTAGGCAGAAATCTGTTGCTTGCAGTTGCAGGACTGGAGTTCTCACTTTCTTGCTGCCCATCTATCAGAGGCGACTCTCAGCTCCTAGAGGACCCCACAGCAGTTCCTTGTCACATTGCCCTTTCAGAAGTTCCCTCACAATATGGCAGCTTATTTCTTCAAAGTCAGCAGTAAAATACCTCATTCTGGTCAGTTAAGGCACAGTCTTCTATAAAGTCATGTCACACTTTTTGCCATATAGCAGAATCTAATGAAGGGAGTCTGTTGACATACTCCATTGGCTAAAAGAAAGTCATAGGTTCTGCTGGCTCTCAAGGGGAGGAGATTATACAAAGGCTTGATTCATTGGAGGATATCTTAGAATTTTGCATATGACAATGACTAAATAAATATACTAAGTATCAGCTATGTCTTAGAAGGAAACATGGTAAATAGA